TGGACACTAAAGAAAATAAAACATTATTATTATTATAAACCGGTATTTACCCCGTTTTGTTGGAGCCGACGCAGCTGTTGCTATAGCAAGCCTCGCACACGGTCGGACTCAACGCAAGTGTTTGAATCGCAGCTAAGTCAACAGTTCAATTGCAGCACTCTATTTGGAGCGTTTTCATAGTAGCCATATCTTCTAGGACCCTAAACTACACGACAGAACCAAAGGGGGGCAGGAGACCGGGGGACATGTCCCCGGTCCCCCCGTCCCACTTGTTGTGTAGATTAGGGATCCTGCATTACGAGGGGAACGAGAGAGAGAGAGGAGGACGAGGAGGCGCCCAAGGTAAACACGCCTCAGGTACTCACGTTCTAACCTTTAGCCGGCACTGCTATTTGCTCACCCCATACGCGTGTGAAAATATAAGAGCGGCTAAAGGCTAACGCGTGAATCACTGAGGCATGTTTAGCTAAGCCTCCAGGTCCCTTTTCTTCTCTCCCTCATCGAAAACCAGATGTGACTCTAGAAAAGGGGCCATTCATAGGGTCGAAATGGCCTGTTTACTTATTCCACAAACTTCTCTAAATACGCAAATTGAACCCCCCCAATTCGCACCACCATTAAACCCGTCCTATGCGTGCATGCTGACTGCGATTTTTACATATATAACGACCAGTATAAAATAAGCATAGTTAAATGCACAAGTTTTTGCGCTGGTTATGCTACTCGAGAATGACACCAACTTAACATTTCACCCTTCCAAACGCGCATTAATAGTAAAAAAAAAAAAAAAAAAAACTGGGAGAACGTTTTTTTTACGTTACTTATAAAATGAGGTTAAAAATGCAGGCGAGATGGTGCACATTTATAATGAAAATCCTAGAGACAATGAACAGGGAGGACAGGAATAACACCACCTCGAAACCAGCACAAAAATTATTTAATTTTAGGACATGCTTCGTTCTTGTAGTCTTTGCATAGCACGAAGCACATGAAACCAAATCCCGCGTCAGCTGCAGGCTCCACATCATGAAAGTCTCAAACACTGGCTTAAAAGCAGTCAGAGAAGTTCGGTGCGGACAACATTTCTAACTGGTAAAACCGTCACTACGGTTTGGCAAAATTGGATTGCAAAAGAAGCTCAAGGCGAGCACCACAACTAACCTGTGATTGCGACTGATGACCATGAACGTAGGTGTGACTCTGTGACGATGAAAGTGTTCTGACAGCCTGCACAAAGAGGCGTCGCCAATTGAAATCTGTGTGTCCCGCTTCTTCCTCTCTTTTCCCTCTTCTGACACTCTTTTATCCTTTTTCCCATTCCTTAAAGGCCGACCAACAAGCAGAAAGAAGGAAACTCTCCCTCAATTCTCCCTTTCCATTTGAGAAAGAGGGAGACCCTCCTCCTCTCTACCGGGAGTAGTTCAGAGATCCGCTCCAGTGTGGAGAGAAGGGGAAAAGTGGGCGAGTGAAAATGGAGAGAAGGAAATTGGGAACCGGTTTTTTCCCCGGTAGAAGACGATTCTGTAGGTCGGACTTTAACAGAGTGGTCAGTCGAGGGTACTCCTTGGCTTACCTCTCTGTTCTCTCTATCTTTTTGTTAAAAAAAACAACAACAAAAAACTAAGGTGTATTAGTTTTGGTAGGTGTGCCGAATGCATCGGCCTGTCCATCGGAGTTGGTTGTTGTGTGTCCCGATTCCGCCACAGGGGCCTGAGGTGGCGCTGCCAGTCACAGCGGAATCATGAGGTCGGTCAGGCAGCGTTTAGCGAGGCTGGCTTGGGGCCTGCTGGTGTGACTATTTCTTCATGTTTTGCGTTGTGTGTGAAGCGACACAATACTGTGTGGCTGGCTATACTTCGTTTCACGATAACTTGGCGAACTGGGGAGGCTGCGGCCCCCACGATCTAATAAGAGCGTCGGAGCAGGGCACGCGTGATAACACTCCATGGTCTAGGCCGTGGGGGCCTCGTTACCGCGACAGCAACAGAGCCGTCCATGACAAAAAGTAGTTCTAGGCTTCTTTTTCTTTTAACGGCAACTGAACTGGCGCGATTCTATCTATTAAGAGAGAATATAAAGAACAAAGAATAAATAATCACAAATGTATTCGTTTCCATTATATTAAAAAAAAAAAAAAAAAGAGACACCACATCCGTATCCGCTCGAATGTTTCGCCTTTTAGCGTCGTGGCCACTGCTGGCAGTCACCGGCGATCGCAGCCGTGTAATCGGCCGTTTCCGCTCAAAACATTGCATGTTCATTGCCAGTGTAGGGTGGCTTCCGCTTCGCTTTATCTCGCTCAAACCACAAAGAATGAGCGATGAGCTCGCCTCATTTTAAGGATCGTCTTCTGTTTTTGGCCGTTCCTAGGCCTAAAGAGACGCTCAAACCGTTCACATGGCAACGTCTCGCTGCTCCGAGGTTCCGATTAGATGATCTCGTTCGTGGCACGACACCTGTAGCTTAAGAAGAAGTATTTTCAGACTTCTGTTTCGCTTCAGCTCAGATCTAAATAAAGCAGCTGCTCTCGCAGAGTATGCTCGCTCGCATTCGTCTCAGCTTCGGCGTATTTGGCGGCCTAAATCTTCGGCGACAGACGGTCAACGCGGCACACGAACGTCCAAAATACCCCAGACCGAGCACCAAATTAGAATGCTACGGATTGGATTGTTTTGGCTGACTACAGCCAACAACACTTATACGGATTTTAGATTGTCTCTTATTTTAGCCGGCTTGATCGGGACTTACCTTAAGTATTATTTGTAAACAAAAAGTATTTGCTGAGCGCATATGTTTCGCGTTGTTTTAAAATTTTTCTTTTTTGATTATTACGCTTGTGAGCCGCATTGGTGCTGCAAGCGGGAAACGTAAGTGCGCCGTGCTGCGTTGCGAAACCACTATTCTATAAGCCGACGACGCCAACCTCATTGCGTTTGGGTCCCCGAATTTCTTAGGGAAACCCAAACGTTGGGGGCCCCCTATTCTAAAACTCTCTAATATCTCCTTCGTCAAACTTGATGACGTAGCTGGGGGGTCGCAGTATCCCTCAGTGACGATATCTGAATGCGGCTCAGAGATTGGACCCGAGCATTGCGTGAGTCCTCAATTTGGACTCGTGATGACCAATAGCTCGACAAGTATTCGGGTAATGACTCGTGTCCAGTCGTTGAAATGACGACGATAGCCGAACCATAACAATGTCTGAAACTCGGCGCGTGTCCTGTGCTTTGGCAACCCCAGGGCGTGGCTATGATCAACATTGGCGGCATATAATCGGCTCCAGATCACATGGCCACTTGTTCTCGCTGTGAGTTGAGCTGATGAACGCTGCTTTTTCGTTAATTTTTGTTTGCGACTTCCATTGCTTGTGGCGGAAAACGAACGCTTATATCATAGGCCATTAACGTCAGGGATTCGATCTAAGCGGTATTTGCGCAAAGTACAAAAATCATTTCGTCGTCCCTTTAAGGCGTGTCTTTCTAGGGCGAAACACTCATTTTGTGGAAGAACGTTTCAAAGCCAAGGTATCGTGCCTATAGCGTTGACTGCAGCCAATTCTACACGCATAAAAGGTGTTGGGCGAGTAAAAACAAAGAGCCATCTACCGGGAGTCACCGAATCTCTGTTAACATTGTCTACACTACAGTGACGTTTCAACAATGTTAACGTAGAACAGAAAAAAAGAAAAAAAAAACATCTTAGCGTTGCGAGCTTGTTTTCCTCTATGGACTATCACAACTAGCTCATTTATTCGTCGGCATAGAATACGCCACAGACTGCTGGAACGCTCTGTCGATTTTTTACAGCTGCGACAGAAGAGCTTTGGCTACAATCACAGCATTAAAACGTAGTAACTTTACTTCCTCCGCCTGATGAATTTTTTTATCTGTTTCGTCTGGCTTTTTTTTTTCTTTAATTCGTTGGCATATAGAGCGTTCTCGAACCAGCTGTCGCGTCGTCGTGAATGCGATCGTGCCAGTCCCAGTCGCCAGCTTATTCGTGTGCGCCGGCCGGCGAGGAATTTCCGTCGAAATGCTGAAGGTTTTCACCATGCGGCCTTTCACTGTCTTTTCTCTCACTCTTGCATGTCTTCTCATAATCATGGTCTGGATATGGAGTGATTCCAAATATGTAAGAGGTAAGTACCAACTAGAGAGATACAGAACACAGGTTAACAACCCACCGGCACCCTTCCGAAACGAATAATTTCCCGAACATGTTAGGTGTCACATATTAGCGCCCAGGAAAGAAGTTTCCGGTGGTCTTCTAATTGAAATTTATCCCACGAGTGCTCGAAGGAACACCGCTGATATTATAACTGATTTGGCCGCGTTATGCCGTAAACTACGGCGAACTATCTTTCACCGCTGCCCATGCTCACAACTTGTAGGATTCAGTGTTTTCTCGGTATGTACCTATAACCTGACCCGGAAAATTACCCATGCACCCTGGGCAGTTTTATCAAAATTGATAAAAACCCAAAAAACCTCGAATGGAGCTGTCTTTTAGCTCGATAATAGGATACGTTTGTTAGGTTGTCAGTGATCATACCCTGGTGTCTTTAACGCGCATCACTCAGTAGTGATAAAGAACTGCACGCCGGTACGATGCTCACTCGGACGAAAACGGGCCGGGAGAGATTGAACCCAGGATCTATCGAAATAAAGTCCTTTAAAGAATCGGCGTATAAGCTTGCGATTTCGACTCTGCTCTTGACCATTGGAGTGCGCTGGTTCGCCGACTTATAAGAACGAGGATTCCTTCTGAAGGCCTAAGTAGTCGCAAAGCACAGGTAGATACGCTACTCACCTCATCAGCTTAATCAATGAAAGTCGCTTGCCAATCACAAAGTAAGCCTCCGCTTCTATTTTACGAGCATCCGATGAGCGTAGAATCGCAAGGTGATTCACCGGCTGGCAGTGTAAGCCGGCCAACACCTTTCCAGATAGTACATAATGAAGATTGTTAACTTTTTTATAGGTCGAAACGAAGCGAGCACGATGTGGTTCATCGAGTCGGGGAACCACAATTTTCTCAACTTTCGGCAAGCCTGCTCCATCGAATCGGCGGCCCTGCACAATCCGGGTATCCCTATTCGACTCCTCACCACAAGTACTTTGTCTCCGAACTGCAAATACACCAACATTCTCAAAGCGCTTCCCAACTTCCGAGCGGAGCTTCTGGAAATCAGCAGCGCGTTCCACTCAACGCCAATGGATTCCTGGTACCGTAGCAACGCTTGGGCCGACAGCACTCACAAGACTGAACACATCAGCGACGCGCTGAGGTACACAATCCTCTGGAGGCACGGAGGCATCTACATGGACCTAGACGTAATCATGCTCAAACCGTTGAACGGTTTGACGAACTGCGTGGTGATGATGGACAAGAACAGGCCCAACAACAACATCATGATCTTCGACAAGGACCACAGGTTCATCACGGCCCTTATGGACAACTGTCTCAAGGGCTATGATCCGGACGACTACAACACATGTGGGCCCGGTCTCCTGCAGCAGATGTACGAAGATGGTGGTTCTCTAGCGACAGACATGTCCTTCCTGAGGAAGGAGACGTTCCTCGCCATTGACATTGAGCGCAGCGGCTGGTTCTTCGACAGGGACCGCACAGCGTCGGTATTTAAAGAAGTGCGCGAAAGCTACGGCGTGCACATCTACAATTCGCAGACAAAGAACAGAACGTTCGACATCGGATCGGGATGTGCTTACGAACTGCTCGCTATCATGAACTGCCCTCGGGCGTATGAAGCTCTATCCTCGAGCTAGGCGTAGAGCTGTGGTACTTGAATGACAGTGAGTGGTAGTCAAGGAAACAGACAAGGTATGTGTACTCTTAAGCCGTGGTCACACTGCTAACACATCATTCAAACCAGTCTGCAGATAATGCCTGAGGCGTGTTTCTTCCTCGTGTGACAGTCCTGGAACATCTGTTGTACAAAACATCGTCGGCAGACATGTTCCAAGCACGCATATCTATGAAGAAAACAGAGTTCAAACATGCTCAAGGCGCAGACAACTTTGTCACCGTGTCTGCAGCGTCCATCGCGTATTTTGTATGATGACTGCGCAGTGTGATTGCGACTTTAGGAGACGCACAAAGACAACTTGCGTGTGGGCATCTGAGAAGGAAAGCTGACATTGTGCTGAAATGTTCCTTTTTAGGAACTTTTATTTTTCAATTGCAAAACTCAACCAGGATTGCCAAGTGGGGTCTCTCTTTTCGTGGCATTTTAATTATCAGTGTCGTCAAAAAGAAACAAAAAAAAAAAAAAACGCGCGGAATTGTCAAATACGTCAGGGTGCGTGATGCGAATGTTTTGGTTTTTATTGAGTTTGTACTTTCACTTGTTGGTTGCGCAGGCTAAACTGTTTTATTGGTTTATATTTGTCCCGTCCAAGCCTGCAGCTTATCAAGATTGTGCAAACTGAATACAAAGAAACGAACTTAGCAGCACACAAAAGAATATAAAGAGCAAATGTAAGTCGTATGTTTTACAATACGTGTGCACGTGACGTGACAATGGATGATTTGTGATTCATCTTCGCCACGGTATCATAAACATGGTGCCTTTATTTCAGCTTGAAACGCTACGAACCGGCCTTCTCGTGTTAATAGTTTGTGAATTATCGCCAACTACAATGCTAAAAAAAAAAAAAAACAACTTGTAGTTAGTTTCACTATACCTGCGAGGTACAATGTAAATAAAATATATAAATAAAGCTATAGAAAACTGACATTTTGTAAACATCACCGAAAACTCTCCACCAATTAATTGAGATATTGTATGTCATAAAAGTCCAAAGGGTCCCCTCTTTCTTTCTTTTTTAAAAAGTAGCAGGTTGTTAATTTTAGCTTCGACAAAAAAAAAGAGTACATTTCGTGGAATACTCTTCTACGAATGATACCGAGAAGAACAAAACTCACAGATATACCTTATTTTGTTGTTCCATCGGGTTAGCAATGTTTCATTTTTACCTGTCACATTGTTTTCAAGTTCAGTCGGAAGATGCTTCGATCCGATAGAGCCATTCAAGCTGCGCCCACGGTTCATCGTCGTCCCTCATTGTTTCGGTGCGTTCATTAGCTATATCAACGACTAAACCAATAAAGCACGAAAATCGTGCGTTTTTTTTGCTTTTTTTTCTGCGATTGTTTTTGTTGGGGATAGCAAACGGACCAAGGGAACAAGCGCGTGACGCGAAGCCCTTTTGTAGCTGCCCGATTGTCTGTCCCTATCAGATCGTCGGGTGCGGTCGAACTGGAAGTGAAGAAAACTCCAATGCCGCTGGACTGTTTTCGTTTCCGCTATCATCGCCCTTCGATTAAATTGCGGGATCACTAAACTGTTTTCGTTTCCGCTATTATCGCCCTCCGATTAAATTGCGGGAGGAGTAGGCTAGTGACAACAGCCACTCACTGAGGGGGAAAAAAATCCTAAAAGGGACGAACAGGAAGTGTACGCGTATTTGTCATTTGTGTTTCCCATTGTGATTATCTGCTCAACGTTTTTTTGCCACACTTGTATCAACTGAGAACAGACGGGAGGTCACGGGTATACTACGAGCAAATAAATTTAGTTTCCCTCTTTTTCAGAGACACACTATGGTTACACCGAAGAGCCGTTTAGCGTAACGTTAACCGCACCTCTACCGCAAATTCGTGTTGGTATACCGGCCGGAGCTCGCGCTGGCGCCCCATATGAGCGTTGCCGTGCTTTGAGGTAACGGTACACTGAAACCCTGTAACGCCAGTTCGTCTCTAAATCGTCTGCTAGAACTTGGCGGTCCACTTGCGCCGTGATGCCTGCTTCTTGCGCGGAAGTCGCGGTGACGTCCGTACGATGCCGAGCTCCGGTTGACTCTGATTGGAAGCGTAGTGGGCAGGCGTCTATGCTACAGCTGCCTTGAGGTCTACCCACTATCCGAATCCCAATCGGAGCCAATCGGAGCTCGGCATCGTACTGACGTCACCGCGACCCCCGCGCAAGGAGGATACGAACTTACGCTCCGCGTGGGAAGCTCTAGTAGATACTAGCCTAGAAGGCCCGTACGTTTAACCACACAACGTCATCATTGGTGGATCCACGCAGCGCGTCGCCGCCCACGTGGTAACGCTAAGACGGACGCTTAAACCGCTCTGTGTCGACTCTCGCCACGCTTGGGGCGCGTCGGGGAACCACGAATGATGACGTCATGCGCAGGCCTTTTCTTCTGGGTAGTATCGACACAACAGAGCGTCCCCGTCTTATTCGCTATAGAGTATGACGCACATGGCGACGTCAAAGTGGGTCGTGTACGGCTGCCTTGCGTTTGCAGAGTAATTATGTCGGGCTTCATCGAGGCCTGGCATGGAGGCCTCGCAACTGTTATGCTAACATCTCTTCTTTCATTTTTGCTTGTTCGGTTGTGAGTTTCGTTTTATTCATAAAGCTGTAGCACATATGCGTCTCTCTTTCGTTTGCCAGTACTATATGCCCTTGTAAAACATTCCAAACACCGTTGGCGGATTTTTTTTTTTTTTTGGCTTCGTTTTACGTACACATTATAACATATAAAAAATGTTCCAATTGAACTGAACGAACCATTTATTCGAGGCAATGTTACCAATCGGAGTGTGCGTCAGATTACGGGCGGAAGTGGTAACTAGAAAATAAAGTACCTAAGCTATACTTATTAACTTTTAATATCCCACTTAACTGGTCTATTATAGCCAGAAAGTTCTTGCCCGTTTTCCGAAAATCTCTGATTAAAGGGGCAACGCAACGATTTTTGTACTTTGCGCAAGTACCGCTTAGAACGTATCTCTGACGTTAATAGGGAGTTTTAGCAGGTCGTTTCCACACGAACGGTTCGCCCTCCAACGCATCCGCGACGCCACTACGCATGCGCGCGCGAGTCGTTCGGGGAGTCGGGAGGCTCTTCTCGTTCGTTTCTCCCATTCCAGCCGCTGGAGTCGTCACCGCAACGCAGCCAGCACCGTTCACGACTCGGGTAAAAAAAAAAGATGGCGGTCGGTTCGGCGACCGCCTTCGCCGACCCAGCCGAGCGTTAGGCTTAGGACAGCGGAAAGCGATTTGCCGTCCTGTTAGTCTGCTTCATTTGAGAGCTTGAACCAAATCATTTCGAGGACTGCTCACAATGGTAAGCGATCGTGAATGCTGTAAACTGCGCATGCTAGTAAATTTTTGCGATCTGCGGGCAGACTCTGCCGTGCCGACCGCGAGCAGACGAAATGATTTGGTTCAACGGCACACAACGTGAACGATCGTTCACGTTCACGATGACGAAGACACACCACATACCTTTACGGTCGTTCAGACACTTTTTACTCTATCTAGCTTCGCAGTTCTTGAAATTCCGATCGGCAAATGTTACGTCGGCCGTCTTGTTTACATCAGTCGCACGCCGGAAACACGAGCCGCCACCACGGTGCCCGCCACCGTCAAGGAGGGCCACCGTCGCCACGGATTTACTCGTTGCAGAATGTTTCACGTGTTTACTAGAAGATGGCGCCACCGTTAAGCCCGATCATCATCATCGTTTACACGGTCGCGCCACTTTCACGATTCGCTAAAGTATGTCAAATTTGACGTACGGTTTCGCGGAACGGACCAGCTGTACCGTTCGTGATTTCGGAACCGTGTGCTTGAAAAACGACTCGCTAAAACTCCCTAATGACCTGGGAAACACCCGTTCGTTTTTCACCAGACGCAATAGAAGTCGCAGAAAAAAATCAAAGAAAAAACGAGCAACGTTCACTCCCTGAAGTCGCAGCCAGAACAAGCGGCCAGATGATCTGAAGCCGACTATATTCCGCCAATGTTGATCATTGCCACGCGCTGGGGTTGGCAAGGCTCAGGACACACGCGGAGTTCCAGACATTGTTATGCTTCGGCTATTGTCGTCATCGCGTCATTCGGACACGTTCTGTTCTTTGTCTGCTTGTCCAGCTATCGATCATCACGAGCCCAAATCGAGTGCCCACGCAATTCTCGGGTTCAATCAATGAGCCGCAATCAAATATCGCCACTGGGCGGTCAGTTAGTGCCACAACCCTCTGTGGCACTAACTGACAAGGGAATCGCCTTTCTGCAATGGTATGAGGGTGGTTGATGTTGTGTGCCCTCCGCGTGCTCGAGTGTCCCTCTGCCAGTGTAACCTCGGCCCGAACTGATACTGCGGGCTGTTCCTGTTTCTTCCTTCAATAAATGGAGTTGTGAGTTGACGTTTCTTCCTTTCTATTTGTGCGAAATTTTAACCATGTCTGCTTGCTAAGCAGGTCCCTTGCGGCCGCTGGAGGTCTGTAGAAGAGGTGGGGGGGGGGGGGGGGGGGGGGGGGGTTAACCGTGTTGGACAGAATACTTAATAAACGTATTTAAGTTAAGTTACTAAATACCTGCTTCATAAAGTATTTCAAGTACTACTCAAGGTATACTTTCACTGTAAAGTATTTTGAGTAGAGTACAAATACTCCGAAATGTATTTCAGTTAATTTTGAAGATACTTCCGCATTGCTTAATTTGTATAACGTCAGTGATAAACACAATTATACAGCTGCGCAAATCTGGTTTACCAGGATGGTTTATTAGAATGCAACATCACAAAACGGAAAAAGAGAATATCGAAGGCTATTCTATGCAGTCCAACTATTCGCAACTTTCAGCTATCGTGGTACAGCGGTGACAATGACGCTCCCTAGTTCCTGGATGATTGGCCTGTAATAAATGGGCTTGCCTACACCTTCCTGACGTGAAAAAAGTAAGCTTCTAATACTGCTTGTATATAGCAAAGCTGGAATTGCTTGCGCGTCGCAGA